AACCCCCCCCCCCCCGGGTCCACAAAAAGCCAGATCTTCAAGCTAAGGGTGTACGGTTAAGGGCTCAACGTGACTACGAGGCTGCTCTGAGATCAATCTGAGCCCTGTGTCCCGAATTTAAGTCCAAACCTTCAACAACCCACTCCAGAGCCCTTTCAAGCGCGGAACCTCATGGGATCTCCCTGGTCCACAGGAAAGCCAAGATCAGCTTATGATTACCAGGCTTCTTCTTGTTGCCTTGTTCACGAGCCTGCTGCTGAGAGCCATGGCTACTGTTGGGTGGGGCATTATCGGCTGTGGCGCTGCTTGGCAGATCAGTTTTTTCAGTGTTTTTTTTTTATTGTGTGGTTTTGAGAGTTCGTCAACATGGAAGCCTCACAAGCCTTCGCTCTGAAGCTTTCAATCCAAACCCTGATCACAGGATGTCACGGAGGTGAAGAGTGGCCCGGCATTTCAACGTGCCCGTGGCGCTGAACTCGTGGCTGTCACTCGATGGGTATGACGCCCTTCGCAGAATTCTCTGGTGTGTTATAAAGGCTGCGCAGGATCCATGTCAAAAATTGTTTATGCTATGAATTTGAGCTTTCGAAGATGAAATATGCGACAGGGTTGAATCCCACATGCGCAGCCCTCACCCCGCGACCCTGAAATGAGAGCGCAAAAACAGGCCCGGGAATGCAGGGTTCTCGAGCTTGAACTTGCTGCGGAAAATCGTTCTTTCGCCAATGCATTCTTCCTTGGGCATTTTTGTTATGAACTTAGTCACGTTCAGGAACCGAACGATGTGGCATATGAGCATTGGAGATGTCCTGCTGAAGGCATGAGCTGGAGTACAAGAGTTTTACCATATCATAGTCTCTCCTACGAATAACGTAGAACACTAGTAGATTATTCTCTGGCTGTATACTGTTATACTCCTTTCTCTCTCTATACATATACAAGTATGCCTCTGTATATATATATATATAAATATACACTTACTTTTGTATATAAGTTTTGTGCATGGTTTGTTTACATATATATATATATAGATATATCATAGTATCTTCTGCTTCACGTCGGCCTGCCTTCCAGCAGCGATGTCCTGGGACAGCTTTTGACCAGTTCTGTGAGGTCATGCGCAGAGATGCCGAGAAGGCGAAGGACTACGCAAAGCGGCACGGTGTGCCAAAGTGGTACACTTCTGTGGAGGACATCCCACTTCCAGGGGCAGACATCACATGGGACACAACCGAGAGAGTACGAGTCGCTATGTTCGAGTTGCTGTGTTGTTTGGGGGTTTCGGGTTTAGAGAACCATGTCCAAAATGCCGGGGCCAAGCGGCATCAACCCTGTGCTCGCCATTTTTGTTTGAGCGGCACATGTGCAGGACCTCCTGGCGGATCCGAAGGTGACGCTCGCTTGCACCATTTAAATCCTGCGACGTTGTCTTAATAAATCCTCTCTGCCACGGAGTTTGACTTTAAAAGCAGACAGATAAAGCTACAATCCATCATACCTGTCAGGACAGCCGTTTACATTGCCACGCCTCCGGGATCGCGGCTTCAAATCGCCAAGCAGGTTGCTGCCTCCGGCAAGCCGTGTTATCTGGAATCTTGGCAGAGAGTCAACTTGTTCCTAGATCCTTGTCCTGTCTCCAGCTGTCCATTATTGCATCGATCTTGGTTCGGCTGCAAGGGGTTATGAAGTCTTCCCCAAGCACACAATGACAAGGAGAAGCCCATGGCGCGGAACGTCACGGAGTCGTTGCAAGTCGCAGAACCGTTCAAGAAGGTCTGCCAGGGCGACGAACACTGAGGAAGCTTCGGGCGAACGGCTCGTATAGTACCAACACGATATCAGTGCGGAGGAGATGAGTCAACTGATGCCAACACCGACCTACATACATATACATATATTACATAGTGCAT